ATTTAGAATTTTTATATCTTTTTGATTCAGCTTTGGTAATTCATATGTATCTAGTAATCTCTCCATTTTTTCTGTGTTTTTCCGTCTTATTAGAACACAGATTCTCAAAGTAGGTATCGATTGTACGCCCAGCGAGAGAGAACCAACCAGAGACCGATATTAAATTCACACAGGACCAGCCAGGACAGAGCCGAGCATCAGACTCGAGCCCCGACTTGGGAGAGATTAACATATTTTATACACCTTTGAGGCCAACAGTTTCTAGGCCCCCCTATGGGATAGAACTAGTAAAGCAAGCAAAAGGTACAGAAGCGGAACATCCTGCTGTTAGAACATTTGTAAAACAATAGTTGATTAATTGTTATTTCTAAAGAGACTTTCTAAGGGAAGGAGGTTTTTAAGCTTCCTCCTTCTGAGTTCATCTAAAGGTCAGGCAGGTGGGTCAAGCAGCAATATGGAGTCTGTTTTGCTAACTAGGGTCCTTCATTGATGATCTGTGTCTCTGCAGGATCTGTTGTGACTTCACCCTTTTCATTCCAAATTGCATAGATTTGAGTCTTTCTTTCTTTTTGATAAGGTTGGCTAGGGGTTTGTCAATTTTATTTAATCTTTCAAAGAACCAACTCTTTGATTCATTGATTTTTTTGCATTGTTTTCTGTCTCAATCGCATTAATTTCTGCTCTGATTATTATAATTTCCTCCCTCGTACAAGCTTTGGGCTTGACTTGCTCTTCTTTTTTCTAGAAGCTTGAGATTCATTATTAGGTTGTTTATTTGAACTTGCTCTGTTTTTCTTATATAAATTTCCCTCATAGGGGGCCGGGGATTTAGCTCAGTGGTTCCGGCACCTGCCGCGCAAGTGCAAGGTCCCAAGTTCAATCCCTAGTACCAAAAAAAAAAACCCAAAAAACAAATTTCCTTCATAGGATTGCTTTCATTGTCTCCCCTAAGTTTCAGTGTATTGTGCTGGCATTATTGTTTAATTGTAGAAACTGTCTAATTTCTTCTTTACTTTCATCAGTGACCCATTGGTTGTTCAAGAGGGTATTATTTAATTTCAGTGTGTTTATGAGGTTCTTCTTCTTTTTTTTTTTTTTTTCTGTACTGGGGATCGAACTCAGGACCTTGCACTTGTGAGGCAGGCAGTGGAACCACTGAGCTAAATCCCCGGCCCCTGTTTGTGAGGTTCTTGTGGTTTCTTTTGCCATTGATTTCCAATTTCATTGCACTATGGTTTGATAATATGCATGAGATAATTCAGTTCGTTTGGATTTACTATGAGCATGTTCTATGAACTAGTGTGTGGTCTATTCTGGAGAATGTCCCATGCGCGGCTGAGAAGAATGTGTATTCTGATGTTGTGGAGTGGAACACTCTGTAGACATCTACTAAGTCCATTTGTTCAAAAGTTTGGTTCAGTTCTGATAGTTCTTTGTTGATTTTTTGACTAGTTGATCTACTTGTGACAGTAGGGTATTGAGGTCCCCCACTATAATTGTATTAGTGCTTATTTGATTTTTCATGTCCATTAATATTTGTTTTATATAGTTGAGTGGACTGGTATTTAGTGCATATATATTTATGATTGTTATCTCTTCCTTTTGGAATTTTCTCTTTACAAGGATGTAGTGACCTTCTTTGTCTCTCTTAATCAGTCCTGCCTTGAAAACTACTTTGTCTGCAAATAGAATAGATACCCCTGCTTTTTCCAGGTTCCTGTCACATGGAGTATTATTTGCCATCCTTTGACTTTCAGTCTATGAATTTCTTTTTGAATTAAATGTTTTTCTTATATGCAGCATATTGTTAGATTTTGCTTCTTTTTTTGTTGTTGTTGTTTCTGTTTTTTTTGTTTTGTTTTGTTTTGAGTCAGGGTCTCATTATGCAATTCAGGCTGGTTTTGAATTCACTATGTAGCCCAGGTTGGCCTCAAATTCATGGCAATCCTCCTGCCTCAGCCTCCTGAGTGTTGGAATTACAGGTGTGTACCATTATGCCTGGCTGGGTCTTGCTTCTGATCCATTCTGTGGGCGTGTTTCTTTTGATTGGTGAATTGAGACCATTTACATTGATGGTTATAACTGATATGTATTGATTTATCCTTGTCATGTTATTTTTCTGTTGTTGGTTCCTTTTTTTCCCACCCTATATTTAATTATTTGCCTTGTCTGTTGGATTAATTCTGTTGGAGTTCATGGAGTTGTAGTCCTCATGATCTCCTTCTGGAATGTCCTTCAAAACATTTTGGAGTAGGGCCGGGGATTTACCTCAGTGGTTCCGCTGCCTGCCTCGAAAGTACAAGGACCTGAGTTCAATCCCTGGTACCAAAAAAAAAAAAGGCTAGAACAATAAAGTATTATTACTCACTGAGACTGGATACACTGACAACATTGAGAAAATTAAAAAGTAACAGAAAAGTTCAAAATTGGTTTTAAGAAGTTACAGAGCAAAACAGTTCCTCAAGCTATTGCTAAATTTGATCCAAAACTCTTTGATTCTGAGAAAATAACAACCCCCCATTTATAATAACTTTAGATAATTAATATTCAGGATTATGTTGCTGGTGTTCTTAATCACAGTAGTAAAAAAGAAGGAAGGCACCCCCTCAAACTATGCGAATTTTTTAAAAATTCTGACTTTGAACTATTCAAAAAGTCTGTCCTAATCCTGCCCTTTTTTTCTTTTTCTTTTTTAATTTGCGCACAGCTGTCTGTGGTACTTCCCAGAATCACGCCAGATGCTGGGTTCATCAAGCAAAAGCAGGAAAACAATGGCTGCAAAGCAATTAGAAGCGGCGAGGCTGGGGCGAGACTCATATTAAAATGTGATAACGCGATTCTAGTGGGAATTTCCACCCGGCTCCGTCCTGACATTTCCCCGCTGCCAGACAGGCGGGCTGCGAGGAAGGGCGCCGTGATGGAGCAGGTAACACCCTGGAATTTATTTCTGGAGCAAATGAAGGATTAGCCGAGTTGGAACCCACCCAAGGTTTTTATTATGGACTTGGCCACCATTTTATCGGGATGCATGCGACGAGATCTTGTTGGCATCTAACAAAGCCCAAGGAATAAAAGCGTTATTATAGCTTCAGTTCAATAACATAATCTAGCATCCGCTCAGAGGGCAGAAGCAGAGAGCCTCTTGTGGCTACAAACCTGGGCAGGGGGGCCCAGCAGGGTGAAGGTTAATTAAACACTCCACTAACTTTCCTCGGCGAAGGCTAAGGCCCCTCGGAGGAGGAGCTCAGACGGGAAAGACAGAAGTACACAGCGCCCTCTGCGGCTATGCGGTGTGAAGCCGCGCACGGCGGCGAGCACTCACCTTGCGGCTGAACATCCCAATAGTACCTGAAAGGCAAGAGGAAAAACCAGGGATAAGTCCAACTTGTGTTTCTTGATTGTGACTGACATACAGCAGCTGCATAGCACCTAGTCCAAAAGGCGTGCTAAAGAGTCAATTATTAGTCAAGTCCTAGCTTTTTGTCCCCTTAAATTCTTTTATTGGTACATTTTAGGTACACAATTCGTTTACATTTATCATTGGGTGCTTGTAACTGTCCATGATGTATCTTGGTTCTTATTTTTTCCCCATTACCTGTGTGCCCTTCACCCCCTCTGCCCTTCCCTATTTACA